TTGAACCCCTTTCAAGAGGCTTCAGGTCAATCCCAGGCTAGCATCATACACCGCGGCAGCCGTTTCAGGAGGGGAGGTATCCGGGAAAAGGTAAAAACATAAAGGAAAACCCATTATTTTAGCAATTAATCGATTATCTTCGATCGTGCATTGATTTCGAAGATTCCGGAACTTTCCATTCCTTCACGTGATCGCCAACATACGGAGTTTTGGCAGGGAGGCTGCTCATTTTACCAGTTGACCTTCATTTTCTAGAAGTCGAAGGTCGTTGAGTCCTCTATATATTTGCCGTAGGTCTGACGTAGTTTGTACTGCCTTTTGGCTGCGCTTTACAGCGTTTTTGTTAACATGCTTTTCGCGGTCAAGGTCGCTGAACCTTTGAGTTTTCTTCGGCTAGGCTAGAATTTTTGCGAAGAAATTTTTGGGTGTTTAATCCGGAATAGCGAGAAGACCTGAAGATCTAACACGAACGCCGCCAACACAATGAATTCTCTGGCTCCTTGAATGCTTTGTATGGACCGAGGTTGGAGACGCTAATCGATGGTAGTCCAGGCGCTATCTGCACATAGACTGCAGACATAATGTAGATCTGCGAAAATACTTTGACCGTGTCTTAAACAACCGTTCAGAGATTGACTGGACTACATTGAACGGCCTCACGCAGCACGAGTTGAAGATGAATCTGGCGGACACGCCGACATTGGATGAGACGCAGAGATCGCTTGTTCAGCTGCGAGACAGCAAATGTGCACGTGCCGACGGAATCCCGCCTGAAGTATTGGAACACGGCGGACGCGCGTTGGTGACTGCGCTGCAACAGTTGGTGCAACACGTATGGATTGAGTAAGCGGTGCCTCCTGGGCTGAAAGATGCCCTTGTACTACCACTGTACATGGGCAAAGGTAGCAAGCAATGTAGCACGAATTATCGTGGCATCAACTTGCTGAGTTGTGTGGGCAAGGTGATAGCCCGAATCCTGCTCAACCGCCTCGTCAGTCAGGTTGTCGAACCGCACGTGGCGGAAGAACAATGTGGATTCCGTTCTGGTCGCAGCACTATAGATATGGTGTTTGCGGCTCGTCAATTGCAGGAGAAGTGTAGAGAATGACACTAGCTATTATGCTCGTTTTTTGTTGATTTCACCAAAGCATTTATACGGTGAACTGCGAGGCATTGTGACTGGTGTTGGTTAAGTTTGGTTGTCCGCGTAAGTTTGTAAGTTTGATTGAATGTCTGCACAGTGGTATGCGAGCGAGGGTGCAGCTGAGTGGAGAGACCTCGGATGACCTTGCAGTTGTCTGTGGTGTGAAGCAAGGCTGCCCTGTCTAATATATATCTTCATGCGACGATTCTCGTACTTTCGGGTGCAGTTGGGTTGTACTCCATCGATATCGAGTGCATGGTGCTGTAGCACTTGCGGTCGCGAGTGCCTGAGTCACTCAGGTCTAGTAAATCATGTGCGAGTCCGTTCGGGGCCAACACCGAAAGGACGACGATTCCTGCAGAGAACGTAGGCAGAACCAGTGCAGCGTTTGTAATTACGCCGCATTCGATGTACTAGCCGCGTACTTGCATGCTGAGTCATTTTAGCTGGTGGATTTGCCATATTGTACTAATTTTGTTATCTCATGTTAATATCTACATGAACTATCTAGTATAAACTTGTACACACCGCTTAAGCCAATTGTAGTTAACTTCGATAACATTTTCGCGTTTGTGGCATTTTCTTGAGATATATTTTTTGACGTCTTGAACTTATCGCGGTTTTTCTCGTAATCAGTTTATTTCATATGATCATTTGTTGAGGCGTAATGTCACCATATCTGTATGCATTGTTCGATTTATTTTATATCGCCGTTTCAAGGGATTGACTGTTACTTGATATCCCCGGTGTGGCTGCGCTTGATGTGCAAGGTGGCAAGGTGCCTACTTGTCTTACCTACTACCTCGTCCATACTGGCCCCAGGGGACAGTTGGTCGTTGCTGATGGGGACGGGATGCACAGCCCTTGTGTTCGTGCTAGGCTCGAAGATTGGTTCTATGCACTCAGTGTGGAGCTGACCACGGTCTAGCCACCGCCTTGTGTACGATTGATTCCCAAATGCAGCGTGCTTGTGTTCGCCTGTGAAGGAGTGTGGCCCGGCTCCGTTGATGAAACGTGGCTCCCATCCACATGCCTCCCGGTCTTATTACTTCGGGTTTACACTGGATATGGGGTATGTGGTTGGAGCTGTGGGTGGTGCCGCTGAAGCCACCCATGGTCCCTCCTCTGTAGGCGCAGGCGCCCTGTGGCTGGCCACAGTGACAGGCAAATCCGAAACCGGATGCCGCCAACCGTATATATATATATATATATATATATATATATATATATATATATATATATATATATATATATATATATATACACGGTTGGCGGCATCCGGTTTCGGATTTGCCTGTCACTGTGGCCAGCCACAGGGCGCTCACTGAATACATCTGAATACCACTGGTCGCACACTCGCCAGACGTTATTAGCACCAGGCATGTCTTCATGTGACAAATCAAATCGCCAACCTTGACGTTGGGTCTCTGCATAGTCTCTGGAACTCACGGATGCTCGCCGACGTGTTCCGGCTGGAAGCGAATAGAATGATACTCACAAAGATCTCAGCGCAAACCCGCGTGCTTGTCTGATGAGAGACCGCGAAGCGTGATGGTCTCATCGTGTGTCGGAGATGGAGACAGCCGCTGCCGTTGGTAACCATCGTAAGTTATCCCGTCTGGTGCGAGAAACGGGTAGCAGGAGACCTGATGTTAACGAGGTTATATACAACGGGAGTGGACAGCCGATCCACAGCTTGTCAAAGCGTTTGGAGCATCGAGCCGAACACTTTGAGGGGCATTTCAGTCAGAGTTGCCAGTTTCTCCATCGACCATTGAACGCCCTACTCTCTGAGCCGTCCCTCTGGATCCACCTTCACGCATAGAAATCAACCGTGAGGTCAGACTGTCGAAATTGGATAAGGCCGCCGGAACAGATGGACTTTCTCCAGCCCTCTTCAAAATCCAGGAACCTGCTCTTCTCTACGATTCACACAACTTACTAGTGAAGCTGTGAGAGCAGTAGTCTGTCCCAACAGACTGGAGCCTCTCCTTTATAGTTTCAAGGGAGACTCCAATTCAGAGTGTAGCAATAATAGAGGGATCAGTCCGACCTCAATTGCCTCGGCTCTGTCGTCTTCCCTAGACTGACTGGCACCCGTGAAAGCCAGATGCACAAGGAGCAGATCGGGTTTTGTCGAAATTGAGGCTTCGTTGACCGCATCTTCACACTACATCAATTGTTGTATCACCGCCATGTTTATTGACGACTCACCGTAGTTCTGTTCTTATACATCAAAGTGGCCTTCGATTCGGTTGATCGATATTTTCTTTGGGACTGTCTAGTGAGGAAAGGTGTGTTCGAGGAATGGTTAATTGTCATAAGAACGCTGTACGCACATAGATCGGGCAGGACGTGGGTTTATGCCAAGCTGTCGCCGCCCTTCAATATCTCCAGCAGTGTGAGTCAAGGTTGCCTGCCGTCGCCTTACCTTTTCAACTTCGATATTGAAAAAGTCTTGGAGATCGCTTTCACATGACATGACATGGAAAATGTGCAGTTGCTCCCAGGTGAACGACTTCTTGACTTAGATTGTGCCGATGATATTGCCCTAATCTGTGACAGCTCCGGAACGTGCCAGGTTGCACTGGATAAATTAGCACCGGCTCTCAATTGTTTCAAGTTATGCTTTGCACCCTCGAAATGCAAGTCCTACCCATGATTCGCAGGGACCCTCTCCTGCGCTGAACCTTGGTGGTGATCGGCTAGATGTCATCCAGCAATTTAAAGATCTGGACAGCTATATTAGCCACCTCGGGATTGAAGATGGGGTTATGAACCGTATAATAAAGCCCTACACGCTTTTGCCATTCTCCGAAACATGCGGCACCGGCGCGACATCATTCGCTCTGAAGGTCAAAGTTTACAATGCAGCCGTCCCTTCGACCTTCCTGTAGGGTTGCGAACTCTGATCCATCAAGTCGACTGACATAAGGAGTCTTGTTACCTCCGACTATCGATGCCTTCACAGCTTGGCTCATGTCTGGTGGGAACACCGCTTAAGCAGTGACCGTGTTCGGCGTCGCGTATTTGGTGCAGATAGAGTAAGTGAACCGCTCAGCATTATTATCTCACCCATCAGGCTCTGATGGTCAGGCCATGTGTTGCGCATGCCCGCATCGTGCGTTGTTTGCTTGCTCTGGGGTGCGGATGGAAGAAGAAGATCGGAACCCAAGCGCCGACTTGATCAAGAGGAATAGAGTTTCACTTCGAACTTGGCGTCAGTTGCTGTTTCCCGACTGCCGGGCTGGAGTCCGAAAGATAATAAACACGTTTGGTTGTATACACTTGTTGACATGGTAAGGAGTCGACCACATTGGCGTTTGTGTTGTGAGTCTCTTTATCCCTCCTCTCCTCTGTAGCTTTGCTTTCCAACAACGATCTCAAACCCAATGAATAATGATTTTAGCATTTCGTTACTTCTTAACTTTTTATAGTACTATCCTTTTTGTATTGCAGTACATTAGCAGAGGTGTGTTTCTCACCCTCGGCTGACTTGTGTTGATGATGATGAAGGAAAGAACTTGCAGCCACGGTTATATACTGATCGGGTACAAAGATCCTTGGTCAGGATGCATTTGGACTTCAGCAGAGTTGTATGTTCTTTTGTTTGGGGAGCCTGATCATGAAAGCCTTTCAAGCTGGTAGCCTAAGCAGCAAATTGGACTAACTTAGCCCAAATTCATTGGCCAGGTGCCATCCAACGAAGGGGTTTTGCCTGTTTATATTTGTTTTTCTAGCATGGAACCTTCTTCCGGGTCATTTTCGTCTTAACTGTAAATAACGTTTTATCTCCCTGACTCAATTGAAAGTTTTATGGCTTTCTCGATTATCCATACTACCAGCGGACGCATAGATGATGGCGCCGTTTAACGTAAGCAGGTTGGCTTTTATTTTTCTCTACTCTTTTGTCTTCTTTCCTCCTTGATTTCTCGCTAAATCACATGCTTCTTCTTTGATCCGCATGATCCATTGTCGACAGATGAGATTCCTGACAAGTGTGGGGGTGCATGTCGCGACTAGGATCGACCATAACGTAGTACAATCATTTCCATACTTTTTCGAGTCATTGGACTATAATGGATTATGTCAGACCCCCTGATAACTATTCCTAGTTTTTGTTTGTGGCATCAGAAGTACGCCTGTACGCAGTACCCACGCTTCGCTGCCGCGCGGCCACCACCAGTCCAACGTGAGCTAAGAATACTACGAAGGTCGCCGGGTCCTTGTGCAGGTTCAAAATCGCTCCCCCGGATTATAAGGAAAGCTTGTGATCCTTAAGGCTACAGGACGGCCCTATTCCTAGTAGCTTTGTCAATAGCCAGACTAGTTCAGTCCCCCTGCCTCCCAGATTGAGAGTTAGATCTGGAATAGCGATCAATTCTGTAAAGTCGGTTTCTTATCATGATCATATTGCTCAGCAGTTTGGCTTATGTGCCATTATTTGATTCCCCCTGTTGGTATCTGGTGTGAGCTCCTCTGGAGCCGCACTAGAGTGTCTCAAATCTGAACCGCTTGCTTTTTCTGGCCATGTCCGTTGGGTACTTACATGGATATACATTGTTTGTCGTTATTGCACCTGAGTGACACTGCGCAGTGGTCGGCCGGCAACGTGGCAAAAACGCATGAAGGAAATCGACTGAGACACTTAGCGGGGCGCTACTTGGCTTCTTCCAGATGCAATCTTTGAGATCGGTCATCTTGATAATCGGAGACCCTATCAAAAATGACACAATCGCGGGACCAACGGGGCGGCGCCGTCCTGTCAGCATGCCTACTCAATTACTTTTACTCGCATTTCTCCGTATTTCCATTACTTTTCTATTCTACTCCACCTCGTTTTCCGCTCAATTGTTAATTTCTATTGTTTATTGAATTCAACGTGTTTCTGTGCTTGGATCGTAGTTGTTTGACCTTGCTGAAGTGAACTGATCGCGAAGAAGAATAAATCATTCATCAGCGTGATCCGTTCTTTTTTCAGTTGACCTTGGATGCACAAGTCCTTCCTTGTGTAACGTGACCTTTTACTTTCCTTACACAACGTCCTTCTAGCTTCCTCTTCAAACCGAAGGACTGATCGGCCTCTGATTTTAATACTAATATACTTTTTGATACACTTTTTTTCAGCATTTCCTTCCTTGTTATGAGCACAGACTACCAGTACGCCCCTCGAGCGGTACCAGTGGATGGTGTGGAGTACCCAATCGTAGTTAAATACTGTGGTGGCATGTCGTACAAATTAATCATCATTTTCTAGAATGCACCATGCCTCTTGAATACTGCGAATTTTCCCCATCACCAGACAAGTGCCGCCAGTGGTTAGAGAAGAACCTTCCTGAGGAATTCGAACAACTGGTATCGTGTATGTTCTCTTACGTTACCATTAAAGTTTCGAATATTTAGGCACTGATGACTCCGTACCGGTTCCGGAGACTCATCCTAAGGGCCGCCAGGTTCGTGGAGGCAAGGGGACTAGTCGAAAGACAGTCAAACAAAAAATAACCGTTTTCAAAACTTCGAGAGGGAAGAAAAAGTATACTACCAGTGTTATTGGATTGTCCACATTTGGTACGTTGACACCATAAAATACCATACGAAAAACCCCCTAACGATTATCCGTCAGTTACTGTCTTTGATCTATTTATTCTGTTATGATAAACTACATCTGGGATTCCGAAACGCAACTCATCCCACCCTCGATATTTTCACTTCTTTCATCTGGTACCTTGAGTCATAAAGATTAACTAGCTTGCGAACTAACTACATAGAAATCTTACCAAGGTATGTCGAGTTTTTAGACATTCCTTTCCTAAAGGAATGGGACATGCGTTAAGGGAGAGTCATTTTGTAACGTTCCTTGTGTGAATTAGATTACCGCCCGCATTCTCAATCTGGATCAAAATTCACTTTGAAATGAATCTCAATTGAATGTCGCCTCTTTCATGTGCAATCTCAGTGGTTTTCGTACTTGTTATTTTGCAATATTTAGTTTTACTAGTCATTCACTCATCTCTACAAATCTCTCACTGGTAGTTCCATCGCGACGAGGCTGGACCCTAATGTTTTACGATGGTATACCTACCTCCGGGACCAAATGAACTACCTTTTCCAAGTGCCTTCAAAGCCACTCAAACGGGTCATTGGTTAGGAGTCGGACTAAATCAGTCCTCTACGAAGGTTAGGAAGAGGTCGATGATTCTCCCATTATAATCTGTCCATGGGAGACAACAGATTTATGGGTTATAAACTCACAGTTCGATTAGCATAGAGCAAAAGCGCCACGCACTCACTGACGGGGATAGGGCACCCCCGGTGCTCAATGGTTTGCTACCGCCCCCCCCCCACAACCTGGTAGCTGGTCGCATTGATACATACCAGCCAACTCTCACCTATGATTGGCTGTGGTCGCGTATACTACGGTCGAAAAACATCTGAATTGTCCCGAATCTTCGGAGGCTGTGTGACACCTCAAGCAGATCCCAGTTGGTCTCTGTAATCACACTCCATAGCTGCGTTTGCTCACCACTGCCCTGTGGATCACTGTTAAGTCAAAGGCTAGAGATAGGGCAATCCGAACAAAAGCTATCTCGGAATGGGTAGCCGAAGCGGATCATTTGATCTATCAACCACATCGACAATACCCATTCTTATCCCTCGTTTTTTGAGCGGGCGACTGCCGCTTACCTCGCAGCTGCTGCCATAGATACATGTAGCTCTTCTACCAAATCAAGCGTCTCATTTCACATTGCTTCTTTTAACGTCCGAACTCTAGATCTGTTCGGCCATTAAGCAGCACTGACTCTTACTCTTCACTCTCTTGGTATTGTTCTGTGCTGTCTCCGGAACACGCATGCAAGATAGCAGCGTTGTGACGAATCTTCGACTCCCGGGTTCCGAATCTGCTGACGATTGGTACACTTTTCGCCTCTTTGGCGATACTGAATCAATGACTCAAGGTATTTACAACGTTGATATTGCCCTCAGCAACCATGCTGATGAAAATCTACTCGGCTGAATACCATTGAACAGCCCCATGTGTGCAGTTCGACTTCCAACCATCTGAAGACGTGCCTTTTCATCGCTCCCGTTTATGCTTTACTGATTGCAGTTTAAAGAGTATCAACGCTTTCTATCGTCTGCTCTCATCCCTTCACAACAAGGCGAAAAATACTGACATTGATTGTTACTGGTGAAATGAACGCCCAAGGTTATCTTTCGAACTCTGAACAGCACTGCCGGTCGGGAGAGGTAAGGATCACACGCTTGCCTTGTAATCCGGAGATCACCGGTTCGAGCCTATGTAAGGGACCGGACAACCCTCACAGTACCCCTAGCCCACGTACGACCAATGTTGGTTGCGACAGCGAAGCGTCGGTACAGCATACCGACGTACTGCTGATACTTTTCTCTTCTGAACAGCACTAGGGGTCGCTTCGGAGTCTGCGCACGCCGAACAGACAATGGCGATCATTTCATGCAACTGTGTGCCCGACCACAATCATTTTGTTAGCAGTGCCGTTTTTCCAGCACAAGCATTCACATCTTGTCGCTTGGCGCTCATCGAATTCCTCGATGACCAGAACCTAAATTGACTGTTGTCATCAGCTACAGATAGCACACATCAATTAAAGACTGTCGGTCAATTTGGAATACTTCCCTGGGTTCCAGTCATGTTCTATGCACGCACATTTTACATCCACTCTTTCCGCTTCAAATAATCGCGTAACTTGTGGTTTGAACTCGCTGTCCGCAGTTCGACAATATCATGACGTACTAGCCCATCAATTGCCAGTGGTAAATGGCGATGGTGAGCCTAACGCTGGCAGAAATCGTCTCAAGTGTGTCATGATGAATGCTTTTGACGACTACTGTGCGACCAACTTGAGACGTTGGAACTGCGAATGGATCTCTAAACTATTCATCAGTTTGATTGAAGCACGGAAATAAGTTACAGTGGGAAATGAATTTCGGCGTATCCGTAACGTCCTAAAACGGCGATTATCAAGGAGTCTTTGAGTTGACCGGGAACGTTGGTAGGTAACGAGGGCCAATGAGATGCAGATGGTCAGTGCTTTTAGAAAAATGAGTGCAGTTTCACCTCACATGAAACACGGATCCAAGGATGCCTTCAGTTAGTGAGACAATAGCTAAGTCAGATGGGCAGTTGATCCCTTTTAATCCGCGTCGACTCACTCGTGGGAAAGAACATTTTGAAGAGCAGTTAATCAAGTCTGTTGCGATACTGCCGTTTTCTGAATCACCTAAGCTGACATGTGATGTTGATGTCCCACCTCCTACTTTGGAAAACATTCGATATGCACCTCCCGTGTCGTAACGAAGCAAGGCCCATGGACCCCACGACCTTTCATCTTTACTAAAAGATGAAGATGACACTTTGTTGACACGACTTGGGACACCGAAGAGGTGCCCTAAGCCTGGCGACTGCCGACTGCAGTGTTCATCTTCAAAAAAGTCAGCGCACTTTTTGAGTCTCATCGAGTCATTCGCCTTGCTTCCATTTCCTCCAAACTTCTCACGGGTACCATTCTCCGACGACACTGATGTCCGTGAGAATCGAATCACTGAAAGCCAGGTTTCCGCCCTGATCGTGGTTGTATCGGCGCAGACTGCTCTAAGCACAGGGTTATTAGCCTAATGTCAGCTGTGACAAAATTACTGACCTCGATTCTCGTTCGTCGCTTAATCTTGGAACGGGAATCTCAGTTAAAAGAAGAGCAAACAGCTTTCCGCCCAGAACGTGGTAAATGCGAGAGCAGCGTTACGCATACCGCACACTGACAATAGCTGTATTCCTCAACTAAAGAGTACGTTCGATTCAGTCGATCGATGCATTTTGTTCGAAATACTGGCGCGAAAAGGTGTTCCCATGAAATATGTGAATCTCTTACGTGCTCTATACTCGAACACTACAGGCCGCGTCATGGTCTTCGGTGACCTGTCGGATACCTTTCCGATCACAAGTGGCGTTTGTCAGAATTGTCCAATTTCCCCACTTTTGTTCAATTTCGTCGTGGACTCCATCATGGAATGTTCACTGTCAGAATCTCACAATGTAAGCGTTAAGATCCTGCTTATTGAAAGGCTAGATGATCGTGCTTATGCGGACGATATCGTCTTGTTTTATGACGATGTTGTGGCGGCACAATCAACCATGAATATCCCTAGAGTGGTCCCATTATTTAGTATGCGCTTCCCGCCTTCCATGTGCAAAGTATTGCTGCAAGACCACCAGCCACTTTATGACCCCTTGACCCTTGCTAACGATGAACTCGAGGTCGTTGATCAATTCACTTACCTTAGCAGCTGCGTCAACAACAATGGGCGCATAGGAACTGAACTCAGTTCACGCATTGCAAAGGTCAGAGCTGCCTTGAACTTGCGGCATCTTTGGCCACAGAAGGGAGTTTCCCTCCATCTGAAAGGCCATGTATACAAGGCCACAGTGAGGGCCATCTTGCTCTACTGAAGTGAGACTTGGCCCTTCGGTCTGGAGATCTGAGGCGCCTTCAAGTCTTTGATCAATGTTGTCTGCGGAACATTGCTGGTGTCAGGTGGCATCAGTGTGTCCGCAACGATGATGTGCGTAGGCGAGTGTTAGGCAGCGATAAACAGGCTAGTTCCTTAGAACAACAGCTAGCACTATATAAGCTGCGCTGGCTTGGATACGTGCTACTTATGCCTGCTCATTTATTACCTAGGGTGGGGGCTTTGTTTAGTCTGCCAGGTGTAGGGTGGCGCAAGGCTCGAGGTGGACATAAATTGACTTGGCAGCGTGAAGTGAAGTCGCTGACGACCAAACTGGGTGTTATTGGTCCGCCTCGCCTTCCGATCTGGAGTTCACGTGACCCGCCTTGTGTTTGGCCCGAGACTCTAGAGGACATGCCTCGCAGTCGACACCAATGGCACGTCTGCTGCCGTCTGTTAGTCGGACTGTGTGTTTAACGTGTGTTTGGTGCTGAGTTATCTGCGGGGTAATGGCTGATTATAACGCGAGGCATTAAAAGCTGCTGATGCTGCCTTATCTTCACGATAGCCAGCTGTTTGTGACGGTATGTTGTCTACACAAGGTGTAGGCGCCTTGACCCTAGATGTTTACTTAGGGCATTAAAAATTTCAGGTAAATCCCCTCTTTATTCCCTTGGTTATCATGGTTGTATGTCAGCGAAGCATCAGTTCAGATGACTGGTTGCCGTTGCTTTTTTTGTTACTGTTGTTTTGTGCTTGTATTGATCACATATTTGTTCTTCGTCTAGCTTTAGCACAGAGACACATACTAACAACCGACTTGACTTGAAAGCCGCCTCCGACTCTGCTGACCACGTCAGCTTGTGACACTGCTTATCCATGAAGGGCTTGTGGTCTAAGTTTCTTTCCACTATTCAGTCTTTCTACTGTGACTTCCGAGGTCATGGATGAGTCGACGGTAAGCTGTCTTCTGTTTCCCACAATAAGTGGGGTTCACCAGGGTTGTCTTACGTCATGCTATCTCCACCTGATGAGTCCAAACCAGGACGAATCCGCCGTCGTGGGGTGCCAGTGTTGGAATGAACAACACCAAAATATTTCCATTTCACATACAGTCCTTGC